CGCGTTCTGTACACTAACGTTTGTACTTTCTCTTGTGACCTGGGCAAGCTCCCCAGACCTCAGTGTTAGCTTGGGGCCCCTTGAGTCCATCAGAGCGGGGCTCACCACTGACTTGTTGATTCCGTTCAAGATAGAATTTCTCAATGGAGAAAAGTGGGCAACATACCAGGCCCAGGCGGATCGGGTTTCCCCTCCGCCAGCCCTCCTCCGAGCTCCCAGAGGCTGCCCCCCGCCCCCCCGCAGAGTGGACGTTTCCCCACTTTGACAAATCACTGAAGCCCCTACCTGGGCGCCTACGGCCTCTCTGCGCACCTTCCCTCGGGCAGCCTTTTAGGGCGCTTAGCCTCCCCGGTCCAAGTGTCAACGCCTCATGTCACAGTGACCTTCAAACCACCCCTGGTCGGACCCGCCCTTCTGAACCCACAGGGCATGGCCCAGAGAGACCACCGGGCTCCCCGCCACCCCCAGCCCCGCAGCCTCCTGAAAAACTTACTGCTGGAGAACATGTCGGGGCTGGGCTCACACACCGGCCAGGACCCAGGTGCGAACTGCCTCCCTCCCAGGGGGAGTCTGGTAGGGAAGTGCAGCACCCGCCCAGTTAGGCCCCTTTAAAGCCTCCGTAAGATGCACCCTAGTAATAAATAGTCCCTCCTCCGGACAGGATGCTCAGCCCAGCAGTGGAGAGGTGAACGCACCTTGGCCAGGCTCAGCGGCAGGACCCATCCGCGAAGGTGTAGACCACAGGTCACCAACGAGAAAGGCCAGACATGAATTACTGACCCAGTTACAGGCCAAGGCAGCCAACGCCCCAGCTGCAGAGGTGGGCTGAGACTCAGCTTTCTTACTGAGCGATTATGGGACCCCCAGCTGTTTCCTCGCGGTACTCTCCACAAAATGAACTTATAGGAAGCAGCTGCATGTAGAAGATGGTGAGTCAAGATTTAGGATGAGGTTTATGCGGTATCTCAGAGTCTCCTCCTCTTAAATCCGGATAATTTGGTCAAGTCCCAGGATTTTTAGCAGCGTGTAAACCCACATAAGTAAAAAGAACACTGGATTGAGAATTGCCAGGGGTTACAGGAGAGGAAGGAGTAATAACCGCAGGGTGGGAAGCTGCTATAAATTGGCGTTTCTCAATTTGGAGATTTAAATATGGTTGGTAGACAACGTATTAGTTTCAGGTGTACAATATAGTGATTCGACATTTATATACCCTGCGGTGTGACCACGTCGTAAGGTAGGTAACTCAAGTACCCATCTTCACCTTGTAAATTTACCACAGTATTACTGATTATAATCCCCTTAGCCTTTTTCACCCATCCACCCCACCAGAAGGGTCTGGCAACCATCAGTCTGAGCTCTGTTTCTATGAGTTTCTGTTTTGCTTTGTTTGTTACTTTGTTCTGTGTGTGTGTGTGTGTGTATGTGTGTGTTGTTTTAGATTCTGCATATAAGTGAAACCATTGGTATTTGTCTTTCTCTGTCTGACTTAGTTCACTGAGCATAATACCCTCTAGGTCCATCCATGTTCCTCTAGGTACAATCCATGTCACAAATGGCAGGATTTCATTCTTTTTTATTGCTGAGTAATAGTTCATTGTATATGTCTACCATATCTTTTTTATCCAGTCACCTATTGATGGGTACCTAATTTGCTTTCATATCTTGGCTATCTATCTATAATAATCTATAATAATAAAAGCATAATATGCAAATCAACCAAACAGCCAAACAGTTGAAGGACCATCTGCACGACCACGCTATGACACCCACTGGTGCCAGGCCAGCCAAAGCGGGTGCGATGCGATTGGTTGGGAGGGCCCTGCCATTTCACCAGGATCACCCCGTAGAGGGAGGCCCAGGCCACCAGCCGGCAGGGTGATCAATCAGGGGGCTCCACGATCACCCCAAAGAGGGAGGCCCAGGCCACTGACTGGCAGGCTGCGGTGGGTGAGCTGGGCCTCCCTCTGTGGGGTGATCGATTGCAGGGCTCCCAGACTGCTAAAGGGCGCAGGCCAGGCTGAGAGACCCCTCTACCCCCCCACCCAGTGCACACAAATTTTGTGCACTGGGCCTCTAGTCTACACTAATAAAAGACAAAGATGCTAACTGACTGTACCTTCACTATGCCCTAAGCCACGCCCACCAGCCAATCAGAGTGACTATATGCAAATTAACCCAACCAAGATGACGGCAGGCAGCCACGGAGCTGCAATGAGAAGGAGGCTTGGTTGCCCCAATGATGGAGGAAGCCAACTTCCTGCCTGCAGTGGCCGGCTCTGAGCTTCACTCAAAGCAACAAAGTTTCAATCATAGAAGGTAAATAAACCCCAGATACCTGCTTTCAGCCAGCCATGGCCATGGAACTGGAGCGAGCAGGAGTGGGTTGCCCCTGGCAATGGAGGAAGCCAAGCTTTCCACAGGCCTCCACTAAAGGCAACAAAGTTTCAATTATAGAAGGTAAATAAA